CGGCACACCCCTCACACGTTCCGTGGCCCCATCGGGAGCTCCACCGAAGGCCCCAGTGCCACCATCCACATGCGTTCCCCCGCCCACTTCGGCACACCCCTCACACGTTTCGTGGCCCCATAGGGAGCTCCACCGAAGGCCCCAGTGCCACCGTCCACATGCGTCCCCCCCGCCCACTTCGGCAAACCTCTCACACGTTCCGTGGCCCCATAGTCTTCGGCACACCCCAAGCTCCGTGGCCCCCATAGGGAGCTCCACCGAAGGCCACAGTGCTACCGTCCACATGCGTCCCCCGCACCCACTTCGGCACACCCCTCCCGCGTCTCGTGGCCCCATAAGGAGCTCCACCGAAGGCCCCAGTGCCACCGTCCACATGCGTCCCCCCCCTCTTCGGCACACCCCTCACACGTTCCGTGGCCCCATAGGGAGCTCCACCGAAGGCCCCAGTGCCACCGACCACATGCGTCCCCCCACCCACTTCGGCACACCCCTCACATGTTTCGTGGCCCCATAGGGATCTCCTCCGAAAGCCCCAGTGCCACCGTCCACATGCGTCCCCCCCCACCCACTTCGGCACACCCCTCACACGCTTCGTGGCCCCATAGGGAGCTCCACCGAAGGCCCCAGTGCCAGCGTCCACATGCGTCCCCCCACCCACTCCGGCACACCCCTCACACGTTTCGTGGCCCCATAGGGAGCTCCACCGAAGGCCCCAGTGCCACCGTCCACATGCGTCCCCCCAACCCACTTCGGCACACCCCTCACACGCTTCGTGGCCCCTCCACCGAAGGCCCCAGTGCCACCGTCCACATGCGTCCCACCCACTTCGGCACACCTCTCAAACGTGTCGTGGCCCCATAGTCTTCGGCACATCCCAAGTGTCGTGGCCCCATAGGGAGCTCCACCGAAGGCCCCAGTGCCAATGTCCACATGCGTCCCCCCCACTCATTTCGGCACACCCCTCCCACGTTTCGTGGCCAAATGGCGGGCTCCACCGAAGGCCCCGGTGCCACCGTCCGCATGAGTCCCCACTCCCATTTCGGCCTCAATGACCGTGCCCGCATGCGTCACCCAGACCCGTTTCAGCACACCCCGCGTCCGGCTCAACCGAAGATCCCAATGGCGCCGCCCGAGGTTGCCGCCCTTCTGGGAGGTCCGGGGGCTGGCCAGGATTGTCGCGGGCCTGCCTCGGGGCGGTCTTGGAGACGTCGTGCCCCCGCGGGCCACGTTGGGGGCGCATTTTGGGCCCCCTCTCCGATGCTCTTCTGGGCTCCTTGGGCCTTGGGTTCTCGTGGAGCCTCTGGGTCCTTGCCTGGAGCCACGTGGAGTCGAAGCGCGGAGTGGCGAACATGTGCGAAAGCCTCAGGTGCCGGACGAGTTTCCCCTCGTAGGGCGTTCTTCGCAGAGCCATCTTGCAGCCTCGTGTGGCAACCTCTGTGCCCTCTTGGGGCACCAGTGGGCCCTTTTTGAAGAATTGGCGGTCCTGGGCGCCCCTTGGAGGCTCTCCTTGGCAGCATGGGTCCCTCAGATGTCCCCGTTTAGCCGCCTACGGGCGCTTCTTGGCAAATTGTTCAAGCAATTGCGTCTGGCGCCCACCCGTTACGCACTGCGCCTGGCACTGCAGGAGAATGGCGTCTGGCTCTAGCCTCGCCTGCCATGCATCTCTGAGCAAGGACAAGCTATGCTGCCACAGACAAGATCTTACGCAAGCGTTGATTGCAACGTTGTCCGCCGACACCCGCTTGCCAGGGGTGAGGAGGCGCGTGCGAGACGTTTAGCTGTTCCCCTCCTCCGTCTCCCTCCCCCGAGGATCCAACATCTCGTTGAAGGCTCCCCCCCCCTCGAGGGGGGCGAGCTCCTCAACGCACCTTCCTGGCCCTCAGTGCCTCCGGATCCACCCCCCAATGCTCTTCACGATACCCCGGCTACCATCCAAAGACGGCCCCATGCACCGAATACCTTGATACCAGCAACTGAGATGTTGCAATGTGCTTTGCTATCTCGCCTTATCGCGTCCAGACGCCTCCGAGAAGGTCTGGGAACCCCCGAAGTGCCCCCAACCAGCCCAAGATGCAATTGGCCTCAGAAGCTCCTGGCTGGCCTCCAAGACGACACCGAAAAGGATCCACGACGGCCGAAGACTGACCCCAAACGGACCAAAGACTCCTCCACGCGACCTCGCGACACGACCTCGCGATCCTCCAGAACAGCCCCAATATCACCCAAAAGGGATGCCAAGATGGCCCCGAGAGGCCCCGAGAGAGCCCCCGAGGACCCATCGAAAGCTCCTCACGAGGCCCCCCGAGGGCCACAGGACGGGCCCAATGTTTGGTCCCGCACGCCACCAGCGTGTCCAGACCAAACACCCAACGACTCTCGCGGAGAGACTTGCGTGCTGATCGCCCCCTGGGGGGTCCACCGTGGTTCCCGCTTGGCACGCTCACTCGTTGCGCCCTCCCGCTGCTGACAATCTCGGAGTGGAAGACCGAGGCCTGCCGTTCGAGGCGCATGCTCTCACCGCCCCATCGCCTCTATGACTCATCAGCAGCCTTTTTCCCCCTGCTCCTTCTCCCCCTCCTCTTCCCCCTCCTTCCCCTCCTTCCCCTCCTTCCCCTCCTACCTCCTGCTCCTCCTCCTGTTCCTCCTCCTGCTCCTCCTCCTCCTCCTCCTCCTCCTCCTCCTCCCCCTCCTCCTTACGCCTTATTCCCCCTCCTCCTCCTCCTCCTCCTCCTTCTCCTCCTCTCCCCGTCGGCCTTCTTCGCGTCATCCTGTGCCCCATCTAACGGTGGCCAGTATGCCACAGCGTGCCCGAGCAGAGTCCCCCATCACCGAGAAGGTACTCGCGAGGCATCTCCAGACCTCTCCCTTCCAAAGCCTCCCTGACCCTCCCAGGCGTCACACCGTTGTTTGTCGTCCTCCTGCCCTCTGTCGTCCTCGGGCACACCGCAGAGCCCAGGCGTTCCTCGCCCTGCCTGCACTGGCGGGAGCCGGCGGAATGGCGCAAACCTTTTCGATAACTGACGATACTCGGCTCCAGATTCGCACGCCTCGCTTCACTGAGCAGCGACAACGCCTGCTGCCACTCACTGCCTTTACCGCACGCGCCGATTGAAGCCGTGTAGCTGAGGATGTCAGTTCGCGTGCCTGCCCGAAGCGCATCTCGAAAGAGCTTCAACGCCAAGAACCACTGCTTCGAGTCCCCACTCTTTTTAATAGCGAGTGCGAGGCAAGCATCCGTCAACAATGGCTTTCCTTGCAACCGCACGTTTTCAATGGTGTGCGCCGTAGCATGCGCTGTCCCTGCAAGCTCCACTCGTGGCATTGGCGGCCATGGGGCAACGTGGTAATGAGGACCATGCATGAGTTAGCCTTCAGCCGAAAGAAGAGACAGACACACAATCATGGAACCACTACGTATAGAAGACCAGGGGTGTGCAGTTTGAATGCGCCGTCCGAAAACCCTCAAACAAGATACTTCGGAATGAAGCAGCTGAAGGGTCGCTCAAACGGACACCGTCCTCACGAACGACTTAGACGAACTAGCCAAACTCAGAACGGCTGGGTGAATCGAACAGGGCTCGAGACGAGCCATGCCATATGCATGAAAGAAAAGTCACCGCACTTCTGTTAAAATGCTGTTCCGAGACGACCATGGCACATATTTGAATCTTTGCAATGGACCATTCATGACCAACTGGGATCACCCGTTAAATCGCGCACTGATTGATGAGACCGACGTCGTTCAGCTCTATCCCAATGGCAACAATAGTACCCCAGCGTTGATCTGCGAGACGATCAGACTGCCGACAACGCAACCATAGACGAACGCGCGAGAATCGACGCCGAAAGAGTTTACCGTCTGCTCCATCTGGCTGCCGCAATGCCTTCCGCGCGTATGTCACAGTGTTCTGAAAGCCACGGCTGCCTGCTGAATGGTACTCCCTAAGCTGGTGGACGGAGTCGAAGAGCTAGGCCCCATCCGACCAGCTCCACGCAAGAACCGAACGGCAAGCTCGATCGCAACACCGACCGACCTCGGCAAGGGCTCCAAGGCATCTATATAGGTCCACCCCGTGTGCGCGACGCCAACATAATCTGTCGACGGCTATCTCTCGCATGGACTTCGCACCTTGGGGAATTATCTCTGTGCCCAAGGATGCAACACGGGCCCCCAGAGGGCCTTCAACCTTGAACGCCCGTGCCAGCGCAGCGACACCGCCGCACTTTCGATATTCGTACGTGGGGAGGGGGGGCTCTTGCACTGATTTCCCGCCTTGCACGCGCGGCGCCCAGCATTTGACTTCAGTTTCGCCTCCTACATCTCGCTCAGCAGAGCTAGAGCCGGCTACCACTGCTCACGCTCACTCACGCACGCGCTGATCCAAGCGCTGTAACTGATAACGTCGGGCTCCAACTTCACTCCCCACATCTCGCTGATCAACACCACAGCCCGCTGCCACTGACCGACTCCTTCTGACGCGCTGATCCCGACGTTGCGGTTGGCAGTGACGAACTCGTTGAACGGTATCCAGAACTGCTTCCTGTGCGATGGTCACTGGCTACTTCTAGCTGCCTAGCGTGATCACACACGCAAGGTGCATCGTAAGATGATTGGAAGCTTCAAAGGCCGACCTGAAGGGAGACCGGGAATCCTGCCAAGCCGCCAGATGACCGTTCACACGCTGTGATGACCAAGTTGTAAATGACCTTGTCTGGCTCCAAAATGCTCTCTTCCATCTCGCCGAGCAGTGACAATGCGTGCCGCCACTGGCAACATCTTTCACACGCGCAGATCCCGGCGGTGTAGCTGATGGCGTTCGCCTCCAGCTTTGCCTCCCGAATCTCGCCCAGAAGCGCCAAAGCCCGTTGCCATTGCTGGCCCTTTTCGCACGCGCTGATCCCTGCGTTGAAGCTGACAACGTTTGGGTCCAGCTTCGTTTTCCACATCTCGCTTAACAGCGACAAAGCCTGTTGCCACTGCTCGCCCTTCTCGCACGCGCTCATCCCAGCGCTGTAACTGACCAGGGCAGACCCGCGGACTACGTCCACGAAATCTGCACGAACCAGCATATGGCAGTGGACATGCTGCCGAAAGACTGTCATGATGACGTGAGGCTCGACCTTCGCATTCCGCGCATGCTGCTACGTGCTGCTGCTTGCCGCAGCTGCTGCGTACTGCTGGTAATGCTGCCGCCGCTGCTGCGTACTGCTGGTAATGCTCACCGCTGCTGCATGCTGCTGCTGCTTGTAGCTGCAGGGTGCTGCTGATGGCCAGGTCTGCTTTATTCGTACAGCCGGACCTGGGCCAGACGAGCATCCTGCAAGAACACGAGACCTCCGTCGGCCACAAAACAGACAGAACATCCAGGGGTACCCTCCGCAGGATGCACACGAACATCCAACATAACAAGAATAACACTACTGGCCATCGCTCGGACGTCCATTTCCTGTGTTTTTTTTCGGTTGCGTGCGTTTTTTTTCCCGCCAAATGATCAAGGATGCTCCTCGATGGTCCTCGCCGAAGGAAAAATGCACACGTCCGAGCGATGCCGAGACTAGGGCACCCTCCCCGAACCAACCTCGATCCTATACCTCGGTCCGACGGGATTGCGACCCGCTGCATGCTGCTGCTGCCTGCTGCTGCTGCCGCTGCTGCAGCTGTGCTGCTCGCTGCTGCTGTGCGCTCCCGCTGCCTGCTGCCCGCCTCGCGCTGCTGCCGCCTCGCGGCTGCTGCTCCCTGATGCTGCAGGGTAATGTTTCTCCCTATTCGAAAGGGCCCAGGGACACACAAACAAATACACACAAATCCCAGGATTCCCCATTTGTTGCCATATTTTCTTGATGTTCGTCGTTCCCCCCCCCTCGCCCTTTCCCACATGTTCCCATATTTTCCTGGGAATCGACGTTTCTCTGTGTGCGTGTGTGTGTGTGTGTGTGTGTGTGTGTGTGTGTGTGTGTGTGTGTGTGTGTGTGTGTGTACGTGTGTACGTGTGTACGTGTGTACGTGTGTACGTGTGTGTGTGTGTGTGCGTGTGCGTGTGCGTGTGCGTGTGCGTGTGCGTGTGCGTGTGCGTGTGCGTGTGCGTGTGGGTGCGTGTGCGTGTGCGTGTGCGTGTGCGTGTGCGTGTGCGTGTGTGTGTGTGATGCTTCCCTCCTGACTACTTCACAGTCCTCACGCAACCTGCTGCCGGGAGAGGATCGAAGAGCGAGAGGTCAGAATGGAGAACGTTGAGATCTACTGCAGGTCCGTGCCGTGTCGACCCTGGCGTTGGTTCCTGACACCGCGCTGGATCGTTCAACCTTGAACGATCGGCCGTCTCCGCAACGTCCGATCGTTCAACATCGATCGATTCTGGGTCGCCGGCGGCGTTCAACCTTGAACGTCCGCGCTGGGGTCGCCGCTGGTCGACACGACGCAAACCTACCGTAGGGGGGGGGGGATGCGATGGGCGATCAGCGAAAAGCGAGGAGCAGGGGAGGAACAGGGGCGGAGCGACGGCCGAGGGCCGATGGACGAGGAGCGTCGAGGTTCGCAGAGGCACGCCGTCCTTGTAAACCTCTGGGGGGCTGGTTTCGGGCTCACTCCTCCTCCTCCTCCTCCTCCTCCTCCTCCTCCTCCTCCTCCTCCTCAGGGATGTTGCGAATTATGTAAGGGGCGTTGGGTTGGAGACTCGATAGGTTGGTGTCTGCTGCTTGTGTATTCAGACTGCTTGCTGCTGGTGCTGCTTGCATCGGCTTGTTGCTCGCTTTTTGCTAGCTTACTTACTTGCGAGTCGGCTGGCTTGCTTGCTTGCTTGCTGGATGCTTGTTTGTTGGCTTGCTGGCTTGCTGCTGCTGCTGCCGATTGCTGCTGCTTGCTTCGGAAGCTGAAATGGGGGCCTCCTGGGCTGAGTGAATCTAGGCCTTCTCATGTTTCCTTTGCGAACTCGTGGGCTGCCTTGGAGCCCGGCTGGGCCACCGGGGGGTTAAAGGAGCCGCGGGAGGGGTCGTCTCGGGCCACCCTGGGACGATCGTGAGCCGCCTTGGGGGCAGTATTAGGGCCCAGCCTGGACATGCAGAAGCGCACACGCGCCTTCTTTCCATGACGATGTTCCCTCGTGACCGCGGCCGTCCGAGGAGATCTGAAGGGGCCCTGGGACACACAAATACATACACACAAATAAAAATGTTTCCCATATTTTCCAATACTTTCCGGGTTTTTGCCTTCCCCCCACTTCCCATATTTTCCCATCTTTGCTTGGGAATCGACGATGAATTGTGTCTGTTTTTGTTTCCCTCTTTTCGTGCAGTTCTTAATTCTCTGGCACCCCTGCCACAGGTTTGCTCGTTGCATCAGCTTCCCTGGGCGTTGCAGACCAGCCAGTCAGCCCCACCTGCCGCTGCTGCTCCAAAGCTGCCGCTTCGGAGTGTTGGCCCGGCCGGCCCGCGTGGCGCTTAGTAGCTAATTAGGCTGGCCCGTGCCCCGGACCCCCTTTCGCCGCCTGCCCTCTGCTGCGCGGTCGCAACCAAACAAAAGTTGTTTCCCCTCCTGGAGGCCGGAGGCTGCGCGCGGGCGGCGATGGGCCCGGAAGAGGGCCGCAGGATCCGCGGAGCAGGCCCCCGGCGGCCAGCGGGCCCAGAGCACTCGCACCCTCGGGAAGAGAACTCCCCGACGCGTCGCCCGGTGAGACCGGCGCCGCTCCCGCGCAGGGGGCAGAGAAGAAAATCCGTTTTTTTCTCTTTCTTGGATCTGCGCTGGACCACCTGTTCCTTCTTCTTCTTCTTCTTCGATCCTCTTCATCTTCTTCTTATTCTTCGATCCTGTTTCTTCTTCTTCGATCCTCCAGGGAATGATCCTATTAGGAGGAAGGCGAAGCCTTTATTAGGACGGAGGGCGCGGAATGCCAGGTCGAGTTTCCTTTCTGGGAGCCATCAAGGCCCTCCTGGGCAGGCTTGAGAGCCACTTGGGCGGTCTTGGGGCCCTCTCGGGCCGTCTGGGTCGTCTTGGAGCGTCGGAAGCCTCAAAAAAGCGAGAACGTCTAAATGAGTGAACATCAATGAGGAAATCCATGATTTTGGCCTCTCGGTGCCTTCTTGGGCGACCTCTAGGAGCCCTCGTGGGCAGTCTTGGAGCCCCGGTGGGCCGTCTGGAAGCCATATTGGCGACCTCTTGGGCCGTCTGGACGCGTCTCGTGCCACCTGGGACCGTCTCGGAGCTCGCTGGGGACCGCCGGGGCTGATTGGTGCCACTTGAGCCCTCACCCTTCTGGCACGCGCCGCTCCCGACCATACAGTATAGACGATTGCTGACGCGTGAACTCACACCCGCGGAAAGTTGCGCACTTGCATGCGAGAGTGGTGACCGCTTGCCTGCTTGCGTGCTGTCCTCCTCGCGCAGCTGCTAATCTGCTTGCAAGTTTGTCTGGATGCTCTGAATTCTTGTTCGCTGGATTGCTTCGCTGCTTGCTCGTCCGCTCGCTGCTGCTTGATTAGAAGGGTTTGTTCATGCGAGGTGGTTCTGCTGATAGCTGCTTCTCGTCGCTACGCACTGGTGTTTGCTGGCTGCGGCTTCGTGCTACTGGTTCCACGCTGCTTGCTGCAACTTCTGCTTACTTCTGCAGGCTGCTGCAAGCTGCTGCATGCTGCTGCTGCTGCTGCTGCTGCTGCTGCTGCTCTTGCTTGCTTGCTTGTTTGCTTGCTTGCTTGCTTGCTTGCTTGCTTGCTTGCTAAGTATGTTTGCCAATGCTGCCCGCTCGATTGCTGCTGCCGCTTGCTGCTGCAACTTGCTGCTGTCGCTCGCTGATCATTGATGGTGCTGGCTTTGATGCTGCTGGGTGCAGAGGCCGTGCTGGCGCTTTCGTGGGCTATGCTGGCGACGTCTTGAACCGCATCGGGCCAACCGTGCCTTCTTGGGCCATCCTGGCGCCCTATGGGCGAAAAGGGGCCCTCTCGGAGCTCTCCTGCGTCATCTTGGGGTCCTCTGGGGATCCTCCCAGGCCGTCTTGGAGCCCTCTTCGGGCTGCTTTGGGCTGTCTTCGAAGCGTCTCGAAAACCCTCTTCAAGCCCCTTAGGACCCTCCTGGGGCCCCATGTGAACCGTCTCGGAGGATTGCTGGGACATGCCGAAACAGTGTGGTACCGTCCTGGGACAACCCAGAAAGCGAGATTTACGGGACGAAGCGAAGATGACCATGATGATGATGATGATGATGACGACGACGACGATGATGATGATGACGATGATGATGATGATGATGCTGATGCTGATGCTGATGCTGATGATGATGATGATGATGATGATGATGATGATGATGATGATGATGATGATGATGATGATGATGATGATGATCATGATGATGATGATGACGACGACGAGGATGATGATGCTGATGATGGTGATGATGATGATGATGGTGATGACGACGACGACGATGAGGATGATGATGTTGATGATGATGATGATGATGATGACGGATGATATGATAACGATCATCATCGTCAGATCTGCGTCCCCTGGGGCGAGAAGCCCAGAAGGCGAGGATCTGTGGGACGCTGGATGCGAAGCGAAGCAGCCATACGCAAAGCGCGCGCGGGCAAGACAATTGGCGAGCGTGCGAGCTACGCCAAACGCGCTAGCTGGCGGACAGGAGGCGCCAAACGCGCGACAAGACAGACATGGGACGCTGGAGGCCTTCGGAACTGCTGGGCGGCCGGGGCCTCCGCTCGAGCCTCTGAGGCGCCTCCCTCGAAGCCTCCGGGGCCCTCGCGCGTGGCCCGTGGGGAGCCCTGGGGCGCCGCGGAGGTCGGGCAAGCCAGGCCCGTCCAGAGGGCCAGCGCCCCCAACCTCCTCCAACCTCCTCCTCCTCCTCCTCCTCCTCCTCCTCCTCCTCCTCGCCCTCCTCCTCCTAAGCTCGGGCGCACCGCGCGGATCCCAGCGCTGGAGCTCATGACGTTCGGCTCCAGCTCCGCCTCCCGCATCTCGCTGAGCAGCACCAGGGCCCGCTGCCACTGAACGCCCTTTTCGCACGCGCTGACCCCGGCGCTGTAGCTGATGACGTTGGGCTCCAGCTTCGCCTCCCGCATCTCGCTGAGGGTTGCCAAGGCCCGCTGCCACTGCTCGCCCTTTGCGCACGCGCTGATCCCAGCGCTGTAGCCGATGGTGTTCGGCTCTAGCTTCGCCTCCCGCATCTCGCTGAGCAGCGCCAAGGCCCGCTGCCACTGCTCGCCCTTCTCACACGCGCTTATCCCAACGCAGTAGCTGACTGGTGTGAACCCGTGGATTAAATCAACGGCGTGCTGAACCTGGGATTCGCACACCGTGAGTGAACAACTCGTCGAAGTTGAACAGCTCGGGCGTCCCTGGGGCCGCGTCGGGGGCATGTTGGGCCTTCCTGCGAGCCTGTCTGGGGCGTCTTGAAGGCCTCTTGCGGTTTGGGGGCGCCTCAGGGGCTGTTCCTGGGCTGCCCCCCAGAGCCCCATTCTGGGGAACAGCCCGAGAACCTTCTTGCGCGTGCGTGCTGCGAGGTTGCTGTCAGAATGTCCTCCCTGTCACCCATGAGGTTAAGTTGGCTGCAGGGCTTGCTGCAGGCTCCGGGAGCCGAGGCTGAAGGCTGTCTTCGAATATCCTGGGGGGGGTCTGCGCCACGTCGGGGTGGTCCAGGGAGGGATCTCGTGGTCTTGGGGCACTCTTGGGGGTCCACCGAGGGCTCTACTCGGACGTAGGGGGGGAGCGAGATGCTGGTCCCCGCAGAGTCTGCAGGTCACCCCTCTGTCACCCCTAATCGGCCGGTCCCCCCTGTCACCCTAACAAGCGGAGTGGAGGTCCCAGAGCGGCAGCCTCGATGAGGGAAGGAGGAAGAGATCAGAGGAGAATGTCCCCCCTGTCACCTCAATGGGCCGTAGGGGGGGGGGAGATCTTGAGGGCGACTCTGGGCCATCTCGGAGTGCTCCTGGGATCGCTCTGGGGTGCTCCATGGAACTATGGAAATCTCTTCCTGGGCCCGCTCTTGGGAGCTCCGTGGGAACAGTTACAGTCTCTTGGCAAGCGTCGGAGTCTTGTGGGCAACTCTGGGGCATCTGGGAGTGGCCCTGGGACCGCTCTTGTGAGCTCTGTGGGTACTATCGGAGTCTCTTGGGAGGCTCTGGGGCATCTCGGAGTGGTCTGGGGCCTGCGTTGGGGGTCTGGGGTTCGAGGTACTTGGGGATCTTGGGGGCGTTTGGGTTTCGAGAGACGGCGACAGAGTGCCGTGGCTCGAGGCACTCTCCTTGGGAGCTCCTTGGGAACCATCGGAGTCTCTTGGGAGGCTCTGGGGCATGTGGGAGTGGTGCTTGGAGGATTCTCGGCCTATTCGGGGCTGCGGCAAGGGCGTCGTCTGGGTTCCCTATGGCCCCCCTTCGAGCCCCCGTGGGGGTCTCTCCCGAGCCTCTAGGGGCCCTCTTGGTCCACTTTGCGGTTTTTCTTGGGCCGTCTCGGGGGCCGTGTAGGGGGTCTGGGGCCGTCCTGGGGCCGTGTAGAGGGTCTGGGGCCATCTTGGAGCTCGCTTTGGTGAGCTCCTGGAGCCCCCTTGGGGCTGTCTTGGGGGCCACCAGGGGCTCTATGAGGCTGTCCTGGGCTTCTCGCGCGCGCATGGAATTTGACAACGAGGCCGGGGGGGAGATGCCAGCCTGGCTGAGATGGTGCGATGTGCCATTCAAAGCGGAACGATCGTGTACAAGACCTGGAAACACAATACCCCCAAGGGATCGGTTCAGGGCGGGTCAGTCCGGGCTCGGGAGGGTGGTCGAGTCTTTTCCTCTTGAAGGGAAAATCCGAATCCTCATCCTCCCCCTCCTGCTGCTCCCCCGCGTCCTCCGCCTCCTCCTCCGCCTCCTCCTCCTCCTCCTCCTCCTCTTCCTGCTCCTCCTCCTCTCCCTCCTCCTTCTCCTCCTCCTCCCTCCTCCTCCTCCTCCTCTCCTCCTCCTCCTCCTCCTCCTCCCTCGTCCTCCTCCTCCTCCTCCTCCTCCTCCTCCTCCTCCTCCTCGTCATGATCTTCAGGGTCGGCGGCGCCGGCCGTCAGGCCTTCACAGTCTACGCGGTGCAGGCCATCGGGGCGCCCATGGTGTGCCCATGGCAGGGCACCAGGCGAGACCGCGGCTTTACCCCCCCCCCCCCCCCCAGCGCGGAGCGCGCCCAACCGGCGGGCTCTGGGCGAAACCTCGGCACACCCTGCCCGCGCGCGGCGCCCACGACCGCCCACGAGGCGCCCATCTGAGGCCGTCTTGGGCCGCCTTGGGGCGTCCTTGCCTTAGGGTTCTTGGAGTCTTTTGGGGCCGCCCTGGGGCCCTCTTGGGCAACCTGGCCCCTCAATTGGAAACGTCTGGAGCTCGTTTGGGGGCCCTCCTGGGCCGCCTTGGAGCGCCCCTGGGGCGCCAAGGAGCGCGCCGGGCCTGCCGGGCCGATTTTGATCTGCCCGATCCCGATGCCCTTCTGGCACGCGGCGCTCCTGGCATGAAAGAAGAGACGACGCTGGGCTTCAGCAGCGCCTCGCACATCTCGCTGAACAGTTGCAGGGCCCGTTGCCACTGCTCGCCCAAGTCGCACACGCTGACCCCAGCGTTGTAGCTGATGACGTCGGGCTCTAGCTTCGCCTCCCGCATCTGACTGAGCAGCGCCAGCGCCCGTTGCCACTGTTCGCCCTTCTCGCACGCGCTGATCCCAGCGCTGTAACTGACTAGGGCTGGCCCGTAGACTTCGTCCACAGTATCTATACGAACTGGTATGTTTTGGTTGAGTTGCTGCCGAAAGGCTAACATCATGACGTGGAGCTCGGCCCTCGCATTTCGAGCATACAACTGCGTGTTGCTGTTTGCTTCCGCTGTTGCGCATTGTTGGCAATGTTTGCCGATGCTGCTCGTGACAGCAGGGTGCAGCTGACGGCAAGTCCAGCTGGATGTGTGTTGTCACCCGTTGCCTGCTGCTGCTTGTTGTTGCTGTTGTTGTGCTGCCGCTGTTGTTGCTGTTGTTGTTGCCTGCTTCGTGCGACGCACTTTTGCCCTTCGTTGCTGCTGCATGATGTTGCACGGTGTTTTTCGCTATTTCAGCTTGCCGAGGGGGTCGAGGAAGGGGGTGAGGATGTCTCAGGAGATGTGGCAAATTCTATGAAGAAATGTGAAGATGTCTCAAGCCATTTGGCTCATTCGATTAAGAAATGTGAAGTTTATCCAAAATATTTGACACATTCGAATAAGGAGTGTGAGGATGTCTCAAGCGATGTGGCCAATTTCTCAAGAAATGTCAGGATGTTTTAAACGATGTTGCCAAAGCTGCTCCGAAATGTGAAGATGTCTCACGCGGTTTCGTCAATTCTATTAAGAACTGCGAAGAGGTAACAAGCGATCCGGCCAATTCTACAAGAAATGCGAGGATGTCTCAGCCGATTCGGCCAATTCTATTAGGAAGCGTATGAATACCTCAAGCGATTTCGCAGATTTTTTCATAGATGTGAAGATGTTTCAAGCGATTTGGCCTGTTCTACAAAGAAATGTGTGGATGTCTCCGGCGATTTCGCCAATTCGAATAAGAAATACGAAGATGTCTCAAGCGAATTGGCAAATTCGATTAAGAAATGTGAGGATGTCTCAAGCGATTTGGCCATTTCTACTAAGAACTGCGAAGATGTCTCACGCGATCTGGCCAATTCTACTAAGAAGGGCGAGGATGCCTCAAGCGATTTGGCGAATTCTCCCAAGAACTGTGAAGATGTCTCATGCGTTTTGGCCAATTCTCCAAAGAACTGTGAGGCTGTCTCAAGCGATTCGGCCAATTCTCCCAAGAAATGTGAAGATGTCTCAAACGATTTGGCGAATTACACAACAAAATGTGAGCATGTCTCAGGCGATGTGCCCAATTGTACCAAGAAATGTGAGGATGTCTCAGAGCCTGCCGGGTTTTGCCAGTTCCTTATCAGACCTTCCTGGGGTGTAAAACGCTCTCTTTTGATTCCACTAGAAGCCTATCAGTCTTCGCTGTTAGGTTTGGCTGGGGATGCGTTCTCGCATTCGTCGTGCTCTTCGAGGCGGGCCCCCGCTCCCTGGACCTGTGTGCCTTCTCTCGTGCGGTTCTGGACGTCACGTGTGAATGGGTGCACCGAAACGGGGGTGTCGCTCACATGCGGGCTGCGCCACTGGGGCCTTCGGTGGAGCTGTGGGGCCACGAAACGTGCGAGGGGTGTGCCGAAAAGGGGGTCGCCCACATGCGGGCTGCGCCACTGGGGCCTCGTGTCGAGCTCCCTGCGGGGCCACGGAGCGTGCGAGGGTGTGCCGAAGAGGGGGCGGCGTCGCCCGCCTGCGGGCTGCGCCGCTGGGGCCTTTGGTGGAGCTCCCCATGGGGCCACGAAGCGTGTGAGGGTTCTTTTTATTTTTATCATTTTATTATTTTTATTTTTTGAAGCGTGTGAGGGTTGTGCCGAAACGGGGGCGTGAACAAAAACAACGTCAAACACCGAGGGACAATATATGACTCTGACCTCGTCGGGCCGTCATCGGGGTCCTCCTGGGCGGTCTTGGGGAGCCTCCTGGGCCGTCCCGAGCCGTGCTGCGGCGCCCTTCGGGTCCTATGGGGCTGTCTGGGCGCTCTCCTCTTCGGCGTCCCAGAGCCGTTTTGGAGCTGTCCGAAGCCGTCTTGGGGCCATCTGGGTCCCAAGACGAAGTCTCCAGAGGTTCCCAGATTCTGGGAACCTCTGGAGACCTCGTCAAGCGCCCCAAGAGCTCTCAGACCGCCTTATGGGACCCCGGGGAGCCTTTCGGTCCGCAGGCCCTTCTCGTGCGCACGCATGCCTGCAATGTAAACATGATGGCGTCGGGCTCGAGCTTCGCATCCCGCATCTCGCTGAACAGCGCCAAGGCCCGCTGCCACTGAGCACTCCTTTGGCACGCGCTGACCCCAGCGCTGAAGCTGATGACGTTGGGCTCGAGCTTCGCCTCCCGTATCTCTCTGAAAAGCGCCAAGGCTCGCTGCCACTGCTCGCCCATTGCGCACGCGCTGATCCCAGCGCTGTAGCTGACGACGCTGGGCTCCAGCTTCGCCTCCCACATCTCGCTGAGCAGCGCCAAGGCCCGCTGCCACTGAGCACTCCTTTGGCACGCGCTGATCCCAACGTTGTAGCAAACTACGGCTGACCCGTGGACTACCGTGCACGAATGCCAGTTGTCCGAGTGCCCTTGCTGCTCATTGCTTCAGGGTGCGCTGTTTGCTTGATGACTCTGAGGGCGTCCAGAGCAACGGTAGCAGTACCAGCAGTAGCAGATCCAGAGGCAATGGCCTAGCAACAGCAGCAGCCCCATCTGCTTCTCCTCCTCCTCCTCCTCCTTCTCCTCTTCCTCTTCCTCCTCTTGCTTGAATCCTCCTCCTCCTCCTCCTCCTCCTCCTCCTCCTCCTGCTCGTCGTTGTGCTTGGCCCTTCCTCGTCCTACGGCTTGTGCTGCTCCTCCTCCTCCTCCTCCTCCTCCTTCTCCTCCTCGTCCTCCTCGTCCTCCTCCTCATCCGTCCTCTTCCCCCTCCGGGAAATCGTGCGGCTCCGACTCCAAGGGCATGAGCGATTGTGACGGAGGGGAGCGACGGCGGGGAGAAGCAAAAGGAGTAGGCCCAAGATGACGGGAAAAACAAGCACCCCACAGCTTTTGGGACAAGCTCGGCGCGGGAGGGGTCGCGGAAACTGCGTTCCTGGGTGTCCGCGGCTACATCGGACAGCTATTCTTTCTCTGCACCCCCTCCTTCGCGAGAGGTGTCCCAAGAGATGTGGGGCGTGGTTTCTTCAATCATCTGGTGCTTCTGAGAGCCCATCGGAACCCTTTGTGAGGGAGCTGCTGGAGGTCTTCCAGGAACACGTGGGGTATAGCTCTTGAGTGATATGGGGCCTTCTTAGAGCATGTGAGAGCCAATTCGAGGGAGCTGCTTGAGGCGTTCCGGGAGCCGCTGGGAGCGTCGCGGAGGAGGGAGGAGGGAGGAGGAGGGAGGAGGAGGGAGGAGGAGGAGGAGGAGGACGAGGAGGAGGATGATGATGATGATGATGAGGAGGAGGAGGGAGAAAGAGGAGGAGGAGGAGGAGGAGGAGGAGGAGAAAGAGAGGAGGAGGAGGAGGGAGAAAGAGGAGGAGGAGGAGGAGGGAGAAGGGAGGAGGAGGGAGGAGGAGGAGCAGGAGGAGGAACTTCTTGGGGGCCTGCCGGCCGTGGGTGGGACGCACGGCGCTCCAGACTCGGCCCTGCTGGGCCTCCCGCGGGGCCGTCGTGGTGGGGGGCTGTGCGGCCGCAGTACCGTCGGGGCGCTGACCTCAGGAACCCCAAGTGAGGAACGATGCGCCATTTTCCCCTAAATAAGGAACCCTCAGAGGAACGATGACCTGAGGAGCCCTGCATAAAGAACGATGGTCTAAGGAACCCCCCAAAAAAGGAACGAGGCCCCATTTTCCCACGGGTTAAGCTTCGATGTCCCATGGAAGACCTCCGGAAAACCTAAGGCAAGCTGTAAAACGATCAAGGAACACCGAGCCCCTCCCCAACGAAAAGGGTTCCTTCTTCAGCGCCCCGACTGTAGGGGTCGCCGGGGCCGTCGGGGCGCCCTCGCGAAGGAGTGCGAAGCTTTGGGAGGCTTCTCGGAGCGGGTTGGGCGTCTTTGAAGGGGAACTGGGACACACAAATAAATACACACAAATGGGAGGATTCCCCATACTTTTCAATATTTTCTGGGCTTTTGTCTCCCCCCCACTTCCCATATTTTCCTATATTTTCCAGGGAATCGACGATTAATTGTGTCTGTGTGTTTCTTTCCCTCCTGAGTCTTGTGGCCAGAGAAGAGATCGCAGGTGGAAGTCTGGGGAGAACCTCGATCAGGTCGATCGTTCCGCGTTCTCGTGGCCCTCTCGGAAGCCATCTGGGAGCCTGGTGGGACCTGGTGGGAGCCTTCCTGGACCGTCTGCAGGGGGCCCCATGCGAAGCCGCCACCTGCCCCCCACGATTTCTGAGGGGGAGGGTGGGGTTCACTTGCGAAGTGGACCCCACCCTCCCCCTCAGAAATCGTGGGGGGCAGGGGTCGGCTTCGCATGTGGCCCCCTAGTCTGGGAGGTCTCTTGCGCTGCAAGGGAGCGCTCAGGGGGCCTCCTGGGGCACTCCGGGGGGCTCTCCTGGGCCAGGACGGCGCCGCTCCACGAGCGGGGCCGCGGAAGCGCGCCGCCGCCGCGGGCGCGGCGGGCGAAGCCGGCGCGCCCTTTCTGGCACGCGCAGGGCCGGGTAACGAGGGTAGCACAGATGGCATTGGGCTCGAGCTTCGCCTCCCGCATCTCGCAGAGCAGCGCCAGGGCCCGGTGCCACTGACCACCCTTCTCGCACGCGCTGATCCCAACGCTGTAGCTGACTAGGGCTGACCCGTCCGTCCACGACATCTTTCTGGGGCTTTCTTGGGGCCGTCTTGAGGCCCTCGCCCAGCTGGTAGCGCTGCGCGGGCAGATATGTCATTTTGAGCGTGAAAAAACCGGGTGCGGCGCAAAACATCCGAACAAGCTTTTTCGGACGTTTAAGGCCCGACCCTGTTATTTATCAGATAAAACGGCTTTTTCCGCGGGTGCCTCGCCCGGGCGGCCCCCGAGCTCTATGAGGGGCCGACAGGGCCCCAAGAGGGCCCCACAAGGTCCTCGGAAAGGGCCAGAAAATGCAAGGCCCCGCCTTCCGGTTTGGAGCCTCCTTGCGAACCAAATCCGTATCAGGGTTCTCTCGGTGCCGGCCCGAACCGAATTGTGCCGCTCTGGGGACCTGTCGGGGCCCTGTCGGGACTCTCTCCGGGCCGTCTCGGGGCCCCCTGGGGGCCGTCTTGGAGCCCTCGCCTGGATGACAGTGTCGCGCGGCTGGCGGAGAGCCCGGCACCCTCGTGGAAGACGGCCTGGCACTCCGCGGCAACATCGACGAGGTCGGCCGTGGCCGCTGTCGCCTGCCAGAGAGGCGAACAGAATGGGGCAGGACAATGAATGTGGGAGACTTGTCGCAAGCTCCCAGCCCCCCCAAGTGTGCGCCCGAAGGGTGTGGGGCCGCGCTGGCTCCCTCAAAGGGCCGTCTTGGAGCCGTCCAGGCGCGTCTTGAGGGCGCCGTGTGCCGTGATGGGGCCGTCTTGGTTCGTCGTGGGCCCCTCATGGGCGCGTCCGTAGGCCGTCCTGGGCCCGTCGGGGTCCTCGTGGGGCTGTCTTGGAGCCGTCTGGGACCGTGAGGGGGCCGCCTTGGAGTCGTCTTGGGCCCCTCCTGTGCGCCTCCTTGGGCCGTCCTGGGCCCAGCAGGGGCCGTATTGGCACCTTCTTGGGGCTGTCTTGGAGCCGTCTTGAACCGTCGCAGCGCGCCTTGGGTTGTTCTGGGTCCGTCTTGGCCCGTCTTGGGGCATTCCTGGGCGTTTCCTCGGACCCTCCTGGGACTTTCTGGGGCCTCTTGGTGCATCGGACCGACGAAACGGCGGGAAACGCAAAGGGTGTAACAGTAAACAATGGAGGATTCACGTTTTTTGCCAGCTGGGGCTCTCTTGCCAGCTTGGCCCGTCTTGACGCCCCGACCGGGCGCGTCCTTGGGCCGTCCTGGGCGCACCCTCCTGGGACCGTCTTGGAATCGTCTTGGGCCGTCTTGAGCGCGCCTTGGGCCGTCCTGGGCCCGTCTGGGGCCGTGTTGGCACCCTCGCGGCGAGGAAGCTCGGAGGCGGGCTCGAGGCCTCTTTGGGGCCATTTTGGGAGCTGTTGGGGCCTCTGTTGGGACCTCGTTTGGGCTCCTTGGGAGCCTCCTGGGGCCTCTTTGGGGGATTCTTGGCGGCCCCTTGTGGCCTCTTGGGGGCCTGTTTGGGCCTCCTGGCGCCCTCTTGGGGCGGAATGCTCGGATTTTCGGTCCGTGGTCCCCCTCTTGGCCCCCTCTTGGGCCTGTCTTCGGGCCCTCGTGGGCCGTCTTGAGCGTCTCTTGGGTCGTCTTGGGGCCCTCTTGGGCTGTCTTGGGGCGCTCTTGGAAACCTCTTGGGCCGTTCTGGGGCGCTCTTGGAGGCCTCTTGGGCCGTCTTCGAGCGTCGGAAAGCGGAAAAGGCGAGAAGGCCAAAATCCTTCCAAAACCGTCGTGAAGCGGATGATTTTGAGGCCCAAAACCGTCCAAAACCTCCTGAGACGGTCCCCTCGTCCGCCCCCGTGGCACCTCTTGGGGACCTCTTTTGGGTTCCTGGGGGCCTCTTGGGCCTCTCTGGGCTCGTCTATCGCGCCCCTTGGGCTGTCTTGGGGCCCCCTAGGGCCTTCTTGGGCGGTCCTCGGGCCGTCTTGGAGCCATCTTGGGCCGCTCTTCGGGCCATCTTGGGGTCCCGTTGGCCTGTCTTGGGCGCCTCTGGGGCCGTCCTGGGGCCGCCTTGGACCGTCTTGGGGCCCTCTTGGACCGTCTGGGGGTCCTCTTGGGGACCTCGTGGACCGTCTTGGAGCGGTCTTGGATGCCTCTGGGGGGTTTCGGAGCGTCGGGAAGCCGAAAAAGCGAGGAAGCAAAAAACCTCGGAAAAAAACAATGAAAATCAACGATATTGGCCTCTTGGGGCTCTCTTGGCAGGCCTCTTGGGAGGCCGGTTGGGCCGTCTTTGGGAGCTCTTGGGCCGTCTTGGGCCAATCTCGGGCGTCTTGGCCGCCGGATCATTGCGCGTCTCGGGGCCCTCTTGGGCCGCCTTCGGGGCATCTTGAGCGGGTCGGAGCCGTCTTTGAGCGGCTCGGAGCCGTCTTTGGGCCGTCGGGGCGGCCTCCAGAGCGTCTCGGAGCCGTTTCCGGCCATTTGATGCTTTTTCCTTCCGGCACGCGGTCCCTCCAGCCATATAATATAGACTGGCGCGAGCCCGTGGAGCATCCACGGCTGGCAGGGCGAAGCCAGCGGCCGGTGTCCTGTTAGTGCTCCTCGTCACCCCTCGGCGGCCTAGTGAGCGCCCCTGGGAGGTCTGGGTGGTGCTGGAGGCGAGGGGGGGCAGCGGATGACCGCGGGGCCCTGGAAAAAGTGGCAGGTGAAGCCGGGGACAGTGACGGGCTGCTGGAGGGCAGGGAGAGAAGGAGGAGGAGGAGGAGGAGGAGGAGGAGGAGGAGGAGGAGGAGGACGAGGAAGCCATGGGCCGCCCAAGCCTTTTGGGCGCGTCGAGA